TTCCTTCCTTCCTTCCTTCCTTCCTTCCTTCCTTCCTTTCTTCCTTCCATTTGAAACAGGGTTTTATGGGTCCCAGGCTGGCCTCAAACTCTCCATGAAGCAGAGGATGGCCTTGGACTTCTGAGCCTCCTACCTCTACCTCCTTCATGCTGGGATCGCTGGTTTAGGGAGTGCCAGGATCGAACTCAGGACTTTGGGCATGCAGTGCACCAACTGGAGTACATTCCTACTCTTGAAATGATTATGTTGAAATTATCTGTATTTACAGTGTTTGCGTTCTGTGGTTGTAATCTCTAGTCTGGCAGCCGTGCCCCGGCTTCTTCCAGCCTGAAGGAAGTTTCTCTCTTTGTTTGCACAGGTTCCCTGTCTTCTTGTTTCCAGAGGCCACATTATTGCTATTCCCAGGTTTTATTTTTGAAAAGATCTGTCCTTGTTAATTCTAGAAAGACGTCTTGAATAAATGCTCCCGAGTCACCGTTTCTTTTTATTAAAATTGTGTGTGTTCCTCTAGGGCTCTGCCTTTGTCTGTTTCTATGGAGACAAATGGGGTCAGTTTGATTTTCTTTCTTTACCTTTTTAACCTTTAGGTGTGTAAGTCAGGAACCTCGAGAGAAATAGACCCAATTGGATGTGAGAGAGAGAGAGAGAGAGAGAGAGAGAGAGAGAGAGTGTGTGTGTGTGTGTTTATGTATGTGTATGTGTGTGGTGTTTGTGTGAGCGTATGATTTGTCAGCAGGAATGTATGTTTATTTATTTATTTATTCTGTATGAGTGTATTGCCTGCATGTGTATAAGTGCACCCATGTTGTCCAGTACTCACAGAAGTCAGGGGGCATCAGATCCCCTGGAACTGGAGTTATGGGAAGTTGTTAGCTGCCTTGTAGGTGCTGCGAATCTAACCTGGGTCCTCTGGAAGAGCAGGCAGAACCCCGCCTCCCCTTTAAAAATTTTTTATTTAGCTTTGCTGTTTTTAAAGGTAATTGGTTTGTGTGTCTATGGAGGCTGAGGAGTTCCAATGCCTGCATCTGGCTTGGTCAGTTGCAGACCCAGGAGAGCCAAGGCGTTGGTCCAGACTGAGGCTGAGTTAAAGGACTGAGAACTGGAGAGCTGATGCTGAGAGTTTAGCCCCAAAGCCTCCTGACTTGAGGACTGTACGAGTCACTTGTTTTTCGTGAAACCAAGGCGTTGTGCGCAGGAGGCGAGCATTCTACTCACTGAGCCATGCTGCAGCTGTAGGACTGTCACAAAACACCTGACAGAAATAACTTGAGAGAGGAAATTTTGTTTCTTTAGGCTCATAGTGTCAGAGGATTTCAGTTCATCATGGAATGAAGGCACAGGGTTCGTGGTGGTGGGAGCGTGGCAGAGGGTCCTCCTGTCGTGGTGGTAAACCAGAAAGCAGAGATCAAGGCAGGAACCAGGAGCTGGGTTCTAGCCTTCCAAGACCCCCAACTTGTGCCAGTCAGGTTCTGTCTCCTAAAGACTCCACAGCTGTCCAACAGCTCCACCGGCTGGGGAAGAAGCTCAGAGCACCAGCCTATGGCGGGGGCATTTCAGATTTAGGTCCTAATGAGCCAGTGCTTTAGTTTGTGTTGGAGGTCTGGAAAAGACCCAGACATGGAGCTGGAGAGATGGTTCAGTGGTTAAGAGCACTGACTGCTCTTGATAGATGGACCCGGGTTCAATTCCCAGCACCCACATGGCAGCCAATAACCACCAGTAACTCCAGTTCCAGGGGAGCTGATGCCTTCTTTTGACCTCTGCAGGCATTGCACAACATGGAGGCAATTACATACATGCAGGCAATACACTCCTACACATAAAATAAAAATAATAAA